GAAAAAGGGACCACATTTCAGACAACATTCACATGTTCATATTTCAATAATCAATTACTTGTCACCACTTTCAAAAGGGTTGTCGCCACATTGAAAAATGGACCACATTATCACAAAACATGTTCACTGTTTCAAAATTTAAACCAAAATCAACATAAAAACAAAAAAATTAAGAATTAGGGTTACAAAAGTACAAACCGTAATCTGGGCAGACTCTTCCTGGTGGTATGTTCTCATCACTGATTCGCTTTTTCCAGACCATCACAACACTGCAATCAATTTGAATTTGCGAAGTGTTTGCACGAAAATTTGCAGAGAGAGTTCTTTCTTTTTTGTTTTTTCGCAGAGAGAGAGATAGAACCCTAAAAATTGATTTTGTGATTTGAATTCCCAATTTGTGTGATATTTGGGAGAGTCCGATGGTCGCTCATCTAAAATGGCAATTTTACCCTCGAATATGGAGCGTGCGACTCGCACGCTCGCTTTTCCGGTGGAAAACGAGTGGAAAACGGCCGGAGGTTGCGATACAGGCAAACCCGTGTATTAAAGGTTGCAATATAGTACAAATTTTTGTTTAGGTTGCAAATCCACAAGACGCGATTAGTACAGGTTGCATAAAATTATTTACCCAAATAATATTGATTAGCATAAAAAGAGTTTTAAGTATTAATATTTTTTCTTTTATTTTATGGTGTATAATAATTTGACATATGATAGGGAAAATTTCACTTTTGGTACTTCAAGTTTACCTACTTTTCAGTTTTGATAACCATGGTTTTAACTTAATCAATTGTAGTCATTTACGTATTTAAAATGCATCATTTTTGCAAATCGTTAGTTGACCGTGAGTCAACTGACGGTCACCTTCTCTAGCAGGTCATCTTCTTCTGCAAGTGATAGAAAATGGCGGGCATCTCCATTACAGCACCACAAAGCCGCCGAAAGTGAGGGGAAAAAAAAGAATTTGAAGAAATGATCCATAAACCCCAACACAGCATGAAGAACCTAAACCCTAAACACAGCATGAAGAAATGATCCATAAACAGAACAACAATTATACCAATAAAATCAAAGCCAGTAAACCCCAACACAAAACCTAAAACTCCAACAAAAACATAATAGCCACAAAGAACCATTCCCACTGCATCTCAAACAAAATTTCATTTCACAACATCACTAGAAAACATCACTACAAAAGAGAAGAAATTTTGTCTTCAATACATAACACCTCACATAAGAGGAGGAATTCTGTCTTCAATACATAACACATCACACAAAATTTCTACTTTCTTTCACAATGGATTTCTGTCCATAACACATCACACAACAAATCAATACTTAAACATTGACTTCAGCATATCCTCAAATGGATTTTTGTCCCCAATCTTGCCTTGAAGTCCCTTGAGCAGCTGCAGCTCTTAAATTTGAAAGAGTAATGTAGTTTACACCTCCCTTTACAATGACTTGTCCAG